CGAGAGAGAGAGAGAGAGAGAGAGAGAGAGAGAGAGAGAGAGAGAGAGAGAGAGAGATCGTACACAGCAAAATAGTTCACTCCTCTCTTTTTTTGAGCCAATAAAAACTGTGTCCTCAAAATTCGGTGGCACCCTCTTCGAAAAAGTGCGGACTTTGAGATCAGAGTTACCCTACTTGTGTGAAAAACAATAAAACCGAAACTAATAAACTGTACTATTCCTATTTTTCTTCTGGAGAAACGAAAGAGGACTTCAAAACAAAGACTGCAGCGCCATCTGAGCCAATGCGCGGACACATCATGTTCTGTACGATCTTTGGTCAAGATATTATGTTTGTTTGATCGTTTGTTTTCTTGTTTCTGTGTTCTTTTGTTTGTATGTGTGCTTGATTGTAGTTGTCGTTTTTTTTGTTTATGTGGGTGTTTGTTTTATTGTGGGTTTTTTTTTGTTGCTTGCAGAGAAGCAAGACGATACAAAAAAGTTTGGTTAGATCTAGTGCAGGAGAAGAATAGGACTGACAGAAAGAAACTAAGGAGAGGAAAAAGAAAAAGTAGTACCTAATTAGCAGCTTTATTTTTGGTTCTTCTAAACGTACGTTTTTACAATGTACCCATCAACGGATTGCTAGACCTTTCCACTGGGTTGTCATGGCCTAGAAGTCTCGGGTTCGAATCTGGATAGAGGCGGGAAATGTTTTTCTTTCAGATTTTCTCCTTTCATATACTTTTCTGCTTTCTAGTAATGCTCTGTTGATTGCTTTCGTCTCCTCTTTCTGCCTCCACCCCCCTCACTTCCTATGCTCCCTCCTCCTGACTCTTTCTGCAGCCTTTCCACTGCTTCTCCTTAGCTCCTTCTTTCTACTGTCTTTCAGCCACACCCCTGATCTTACGGTAGGTAAAATCTACACCTAGCCGTCTCGGACAAATGTGAAAAATCTCGTAGGTACCGCAAGCAAGTTGCGCACGTTAAAGATCCCTTCGTTGTCCAAAACCGATAAGAGTAGGCTTCGGCCGCCACCCGTAAAGGGCTCCCCCCCCCCCACCAAAAAAAAAGACCTTTCTAGAAGAGAAAAACTACCTGTCGGTGGCGATGTCAGCCTGGCTGACACAGTAGGTTTATTTATCGCATGGAAAAACTCAAAGTTAAAGAGACAGACAGACAAACAGACAGACAGACTGATAGATAAATAGATAGGTAGATAGATAGATAGATAGATAGATAGATAGATAGATAGATAGATAGATAGATAGATAGATAGATAGATAGATAGAGTAAAGTTTTAAAAAGAAGTTCGACCTACTACTAGTTCCCTCCAACCACTAGCACCCTCCAACCACCCCACCCTTGCCCTTACCTTTCCATCCAGACGCAAAATGAGCCAGGGGAGGCAGTGGCAGATCCAGAAAGCGTAGAACACGCACAACACGAGCACATCCAGCCAGGGCGTGTAGTGTGCTCCGGACAACACACTGAGCACGGCGAGCACCGAGGCACACGCCAAGATGAAGGCGGCCTGGTAGACCGTCTCTTGACTGGGAAGGACATGGCGGTAGTTTAACTCTATCCGTACGTCGTGTTTTACTATCGTATCCATAATGCGACGTGGGAACTCTGGGCCACCACTTTCCAAAGAGGAAATTTGCTCGTTAATCCGACCCGTACGCTTCGCATAGCAGTCTGTCAAAATGTTGTTGCTTTAAAAAAAAAAAAGAAATACTGAACGTTTCAAAGAGATATTCGCACTAGAAGTATTCCAAAATGTAAAAAATACAACCCCTGGGGTACAAAATGACCCCAGGACGTACCGATAGGGTTAATAATGTTCTACCACTGTGATTCTGAGTCAAAAAGAAGTGCCAGCAAACACAGCAAAGATTGTTTAGTTTGTTCATTTGTTTGTTTGTTTGTTTGCTTGTTTGTTTGTGCGTCCACTTTGTTTTAGTTGTTTATTTTTTTTTCTCATTTAGTTTTTACCTTTAAATCAGCAAGCATGATATAGATCTAGATTTTTTTTAAAGAGCTAACTCTACAACTTAGAAAAACAGAATGTGGTCCTCAAATACAGAGCTAGCCTGCTGCGTTAGCCTAGACGACGCTACAGTTTACCTCAGTACGCGCCGAAGACAAGAAATGACGTCATTGAAACTTGTGTCCCCCAATGTCTTGTCGTCCCTTCTTTGCGGAGATTCAGCGCCCCGGTACGGTGCGTTTATTATGTTACCTCCCCGTCGTATAGGGCTGGGTGTCGCAACATCTGCTCTGCTGCAACGAAAGATCGCGTATAACTGGACATATAAATACATTCTTTGTTGGTTGTAAATACTTCACACCTGTTCCCATTAATTCAGTTTAGAGGATTTAAGAGGCGGGCTGCTTTGACCCTGCTATGCAGTTAGGGCCGACCCAGGCTGAGTTGACTATAGCATCTAAATTGTTTTCAAAGTGGGCAGATTAACTGTGACAGCCAAGTTTGAAGCATCGCTATGGGCTACCGTGTCAGTAATATTTAAAGGTGTATTTTTTATGACGCATTTCCGTGCTCTGCACAATGCTCTATGCGCTTAACAATTATTATTAACCCAGCAGACGAAAGAACACCCAGAAGCATTCTCGGCTATCGGAGAAGCATACTATTACACTCATTAACACACTCATGAGATAATATGTGAGGCATCGTGGTGAAATTAGGCGCTCGTTAAAATAATGAAATCGAAAAAAACCCAACAACCTGGCAGTATTCTGTCCGTTTGGCAATTTTTATTGAATTTTTGTTTTTTGACTAAACACTTACGTTCCATTTACAAACACATTTCTAATTCTGTGTGGATTTTACTGGAAAATGTTGATTTATGGAACAAGAATGTAAAATTGTAGTTTCTAATTAGTCTTTGGAAGTTGCCAAACTTCACCTCTGGAACCAGGCAACCACACCTCCTACAATCACAAATATCTCAACTTCTATTCACGAATATATGAGTATTTTTTCCCCACCTAAATCAAGACAAATGAACAAGCTTTAAAATGATACCAATAACTCCACATTAAAAATAAAATTGATGAGCGCCTGATTCCACCATGTTGTGACACATATTTCACCATCTATAGCCAGGGCACCCATTTCCATCTGGGCGAGGAGAGGAAAATTCGTGGAAAGTTCCTTTCCCAAAGACACAACGTCGATGTAGTCTCTGAGGGGGTTCAAACCCACGGCCTTTCGGTTACGAGCCCGACAGCCTATAAATAACCACTAGATCACGGACGCCACGATGTATGTAATGCAACAATGAAGGGTAAAAACTGGTCCTTTGGTGGACAGAACAGTTCCGAAACATCTGACGAACAGGAACAAGTTGACAATGACAATGACAATCTTTATTCATCTCGCAGGGAGAAATTTGTCTCAGTCGTTAACAAAAGCAGTAGACGTTACAAAGGTTAGGTGCCCTCACGCATACACCTACAACAAAACAGGACATTAGTAAATACATGACAACCCGCTCCGTGAAACAACCTCTCTCTCTCTCTCTCTCTCTCTCTCTCTCTCTCTCTCTCTCTCTCTCTCTTTATCTCTCTCTCTCTCTCTCTTTCTCTCTCTCTCTCTCTCTCTCTCTCTCTCTCTCTCTCTCTCTCTGTGTGTGTTTCAGCACTGTGTGTTCAGTAACCTCACTGCAGTTGGTACGAATGAATCAAGAGTGAAAAAAAAAATCCCCCAACCTGAAGGAAACTTTTTGTATTTTGCGACCCTAGAACTAGAATTACAAAGTTCTATCTGCTCAATACCTAGTTTTGAGAAATTTGACGTAAAACATGTTGAAGTTTCACAAGATGTCAAGCTTTTCCCGAATGCATTTCTTTGAAAATCTTGATAACGACTCCGAATAATAAAACAATTATGATAGAGCAGACACAACATTTGGTTTCTGACCTCTTGGTATTTGTAACTCAAAACGGCTAAAAGAATGTCAGATAGAACTTTGTAATTCTAAGTAGGGCAGCGAGTTAATTTACCTGTACTTATGACTTTCGTCTCTATGAGCGCCTCTGAATTGCTGAAGCCATGGGCTGGTTCTTTTCCATCTGTGGGCGGCTGGGGGTGTACCGCTGTGCCTGCGCTCCTCCAGTGGCATGGCCGCTGTCGTTGTGAGGGAAATGGGTTTGATTGGGGTTTGATATGGGCTTGGGTGGAGTTAAATGCGGGTTTGGAAGGAGTGTGATGTGGGTTTGAATAGCGTTTGATTGTTGTTTGATATGGATTTGGATTAGGTTTTTGATTGGGTTTTATTTTGGTTTTATTTTGGTTTAAATTAGGCTTGATGTTTATTAGATGGAGTTTGATAAGGGTTTTGATAGGCTTCGATATAGATTAAACTCATGTTTTAGGAGGTGGAATGTCGTAATGAGTGTAGATACACATGTAACATACTAGGCCCCCTCTAAATAACAAAACCTAGATCTCTTAGGAGTCAGGTTGCTTCGATTTTGTCTACCAGGTTCGAACTGGACTGATCGAGTGGGATACAGCTTCTTTTTATTAGCAGACATGCAGAAACACACGCTGAAACAGCTTCATCATTGACACTTACACGACCAAAGTTGAGTCGATTGTACCGTAAAACACCTACTCAATCCGTCAATCAAAAGCTTCCTCGTTAGAGAATCGAACCCACGTCTTCTCTGGAAAATGGCGAAGAGTCTAATCATTACACACAGAGGCAAAGCGTCTATATAATCACATAATCATAGCTTCCCTTCCTAATTTTGAAACATTGTCGCAGTCAAATTCACCCATTGGCGTAAACCTCATAAATTAAATGTAAAAAGACGTTCATAATCACCAATGAACAATAGACTATGCCTAACCTTCAAAACCGTTTCATTGCCACAGAAATAGACTGTTCGCCCCTATCGGGCCACTCCATAAGCAGTCACAAGCTTTGATTGATTAAGTAAGCTTAAAGTGAGGCTGGAAGGGTCAACCAATAGAGTTGAAGGGAACATTTGCATAGCAGTCAAAACTGTTTCATTGTCGCATAAACCCTGTTCACCCCTTTCGGACCACAGTTATAAGCACCCAGACGCGCTGATTATGTAAGCAAACTATTACACTGGTCGGGTCTACCTCACAGAGATGTGAGGGGAACTAACTCTTAATAATCCTTTGACTGTTGCGAGTGCTTGTTTTTTTCCTCGACTTTTTAACGTCCTATAATCAGATCGTGACCTCGATTAAGACACCGGCTCCTGGCCGCGAAAAGCTAGACAAAAACCCCCACCCAAATGTGAAATAAAAATTTCATAATTGGCATGCTCTACCAAAGTGTTTCGGCTGTCTGGTATAACATGCTATTGTAGTACAGACATCTCTGCTTCTTTCCTTGGTGTTCGTGTGTTCAAATCTACAAGTTAAATTTAAGGTTAGTTAGAATAAATATTTAATGAAATACTTTCCCGATTATTATAGCAGTTGAGCATGCATACAACATGAATTCAGGATTTTTTTTCATTCACAACTCAGAGTTGCCGCCTCCAGTGCCAGTAAGATTCTTGTGACTTGTGTGAGGGTGGTAATATCTCCAGGCCCTATCTGGTCCCATTTCACTTTGATTACCCTGTCAAACAAGTCCGCCTTCGCCCCTGAAATTGCACCATCGACGCCGCGGGCGGAGTGAGTACAAAAGGGGTGTCCAGGAAAAACGATAAGCAAAAAAATACGTGTTACGCTATCCGTACGCTTGGGGTCATTTTGTACCCCCGGGGTTGTATTCTTCACATTTTAGAATACTTCCTGTACTTTCAGTGTTTCTAAAAAAAATCATTTTGACAGACTGCTATGCAAAGCGTAGGGATCGGATTAACAAGTAAATTTCCTCTTTGAAAAGTGGTGGCACAGAGTTCCCCAAGTCGTATGGATACGATAGCAAAACACGACATACGGACCCGGATAGGGTTAAGAAATCTGTCAGTTGTTCGGACTTTGTCATGACGTCTTATGAGGTGTCGTGCGTATTGTTTTATGGTCTGCCTGCCTGGTTTAACGTTTGGGTACTTCGTACATTTGTACAAAAATGTGTAGAATTTATTGTTTGTAATATAAGTGTATACATATTTATTTACACCCTTACCGACACAATTTAGATAATTTAAGAGGCAGGCTATATATTCGATTCTACATTTCAAACACAACACAAGCAATGATGGATACATAGTCTCAGCAGCTGACAAACGGAATTGCCGGAAACAGATGTGAGAAAAAAACTAAAATCCTCTCTGTTCGGGAATCGAACTCACTTCTTCTGAATATGATGGCAAAATATCTTTCCTACAAACCGGTTGACCATTTAGAATACATCCCCTTTGAGGTAATGTCTTAGTACTGCAAGGGTAGATCTAGAATCTAGATCTAGATCTAGATATTAGATCTACATCTAGATTTAGATCTAGATTTAAAAAAACAAACAAACAAAAACACAAAAAAACAACAACAAACAAACGATGGAAGTTATGAGGCTTTCTGAAATTACTCAAACTTACTAGCATTCAGCCTGAAACTGAAATTGAAAACTCTGACTGGAATGAAATCTGCTTCCACCAACAAGTCACTAGAATCTAGATCTAGATTAGATCTAGATCTAGATTCTATATGTGGTCGACTTTTAACAAATATGCGGAAAAAAATCAAGTAGAACTCTTTATAGATATAATACTCAAACTTTTACGGTGGTCTGTTGTGATTTGCTCCTTCTTTCCTATACTATCAAACATATGTTGTCCTGATCTCACCTCCTTCTTTTTTATTTTCTATGTTTGTTACACTTTAGATTCTAGATTCTAGATTAGATCTAATCTTGATCTAATAGCACCTCTAATCTTCGGCACTTAATTGACCTTAATGTGTTGCAAGGGCAATAAAACTCTTATGAAAACAAAAAAATATGTTACGATTTTCAGTCCTCCTCAAGCGGGGAGCTTTACGTTTCACATCACATGCTTTATTTGCACCAGAGAGGATCCACAGTGGCCCCAATACTCACTGTGTTCCCAGGCATGCTTTACAGACGCCAAAAAAATAATCTTCCACACGTCCGTTCAACTTGGTGCACCTTTGTGCGAACAATACTAATAGTTATAGATCTAAATCTTGTGCTTATCGTTTTGATGATATGCGAGACAGGGTTTTTTTCCACCCCCATCAATACAGTTTAGATCATATTGGAGGCAGACTTCGTCCCTCCATGTAAGGGCCAACCATTGCTGAGAGGAATACACCATCCCAGCAGAAAGACCCCCTTAAACAAAATGTTTGTTGTTGTTGGTTTTTGTTTTATTTTGGCACGTGTTTTTCGGCGCTCGCAATTGCATAAGGTCACATGAACGTGCAGGACACATCAAACATTTTCAGTTTGTAGGAAATTTGGAATTTTGTCCGGATGGCGGTCGAAGCCTATTC